TGGGAGAGGGACTGTGACGAGGATCTGGTGTGACTTTGGACGCTTCTGCATCTGTGTGGATTTCGGTTGCAGTGTTCTCCTGCTCAGACGCTAGGCTGTGCAGGCCGTGCGTCTGGTGATTGGGTGGTCCCACATGAAGAATGCCCATTTCCATGGACGTGTCTCTGCCCAGGATGGTGGTGCCCTTATGGTTGACGATGACAAATTCTGCTGAGGACTTTTTGCCAAATGCATCCACCATGATGTGACACGCGCCCAAAATCTTGAGAGGTTGGCTGCTGCCGTATGGGTAGATACATGTGGACGTAGGCTCCGGCTTGGAACCCAGTTGTTTGACTTTCTGGTATACATGTAAGGGAAGCACGTTGACGCTGGCTCCCGAGTCAACAAGCAATGTTGTGGGGAAACCATTGAGTAGGAGAGACATTCTAGCATTGTTTTTGTTGATATCGGGGTGGGGAGCTTGTAGGGTGAAAATTTCCTCTTCGCTGTTATCGCGTGAAACATACTTTGCGAATTCAACAGCAGTCTCCCCCCGGTGTAACGCATTCATTTCGTCATTACGTGCCGGGGGCCCCTGGGTGCTTCGGCATGCCTTTGCGAAGTGATTTCTCTTTCCGCAACGACTACATGTCTTGCCTCGGGCTTTATCACATATGCGATGTCCTAGTTCGCCACAACGGTAGCATGTCTCATGTGACGGTGATTTCCGAGTTTGTTGTTGTTCCTGTTTCCGGGCGCGCTCGACCCAGTCCGGTTCCTTTTTGCGTTTGTCGCTCGGCTTCCGGTGTTGACGAAGGCTCGAGAGTTCATCGGAGCTGCTTTCTGGGTTGTTATTTTCGCTTATCTCGCTTTTTTCGATGGCTTTAGCGTGCATTTCAGCGGCTTCGAGTGAACGGGCGGTCTTTAGTGCCTCTTGCAAGGAAATGTTTGGAGTTTCCAACAGTTTACGCCTGAGTTTAGTGGAAGAACAACAAGCGACAATTTGATCTCGGATTATACTATCTGTTTGGTTGTCATATTCACACATTCGGGCTTTAATGCGAAGTCTGGTGTGCCAAGAATCGACTTTTTCGCCCTCTAGTTGTGTACATTGGCGAAATTGGTATCTTTCGAAGACGACATTGTTTTGGGCTGCGAAATATTCGGTGAGTTTCCTTGTTAAAGTTGCAAAGTCCGTTCCCGTGTCCGTAATGTTATTCTCAGCAATGTCTTGAACGTCGATGCCTGCACAGTGAAGTAATATTGCTCTTTGTCGTGGAGCAGCGTTTATCCCTTTTGCGGCGAGATAGATTTTGACTGATTTCACGTACCTTTCCCAGCGATGAGCCACGTTGTTTGGCTCGTCGTACACGTCGAACTTTGCTGGGTTAGCGAAATCCATTGCGAAATTATCTTGACTTTGATGCGGCGAAAATAGTTTGTTTCTGTTCGAGAATGTCAGTTGAGGATATCAAATTGCTTGAAGAATGATTACGGAGGCGGGCTCTGCCGACTACGCCATTGTTGTGTCCTTTATTTCATGCATAGAACATAATAATGAAACATAACGTGAATATAAACTTTACAATAACTTTCTAGTCTGTTCGATCGTTTTCCTCACACATGTCCTTTTTCCCATAATCCAGTCCATGTGGTCAGCGGTCATTGTCAGTCACTACACATGTTATGCACAATAAGCACAATAGTCATGCATTTATTTGTAAAACTATTCGGCGGTACACATCAAATAAACCGGAGGAATTAATAGAATCGGCAAATCCAAAAAAAATTACCAATGAGCTCAATTCATATTTTGCTTTGGTAGGAAATTCTACGGCGGACTCTGTTAAGAAATTAGGACAAGAGCACCATATACCTGTCATAGAGCATCAACCTATAAAACGCTACCCCGAACCAGAGCAGTTCTCCCACAGCCAAATACCTAGAGAGGAACATGTAGCAATGGTAATGAATATGCCTTTAAATTTAAAATCTCCCGGTATGGATAAGGTGGCTAAAAAAGGTTATAGAGATTGCCTATCCACTGTTTCTATGCAAGCCTTTAACCGAAATAATTAATTTATCGTTCACCTTCAATATACTTCTCACCGCTTGGAAGATCGCTAATTAAAAGTATTGCCTCACGTAAAGGACGGAGATAGTGAAGTTGCAAGTAGTAATCGACCAATCTCTTTATTAGTGACCAATAATCTAAAATTTGTGAAAGAATAGTCTTTGACCATCTGTAAAATTGTTTTGAAGAACACAATCGACTTACAAGTTATCAAAGTGGCAACAAACGCAAACACTCGACTGAATCAGTTAATTAATTTGTTGGTAACTGACCATATTCTCAATGCTGTCGATGAAAAGAAAGTCACCGTTCTTGTTTTGCTTGATTTGAGTAAAGAATTCGATACTATCGACCACGGTCGTCTCCTTCACAAGTTGCTGGACTGTGGAATGCCGTCAAATGCACTAGAAGGGTTGCGGAGGTATCTTACTGAACGAATACAAGCAGTTCGGATTGGCGCTGATCGAAATATCGCATTTACTTCCCATAACGATTTCATTTTATTCATCAATGATCTTCCTTGTATCCCGTTAAAAAGGAACTTGAAAGTTATGTAGATGACTCTAACAAACGTATTCTAAAAGCTCACTCTCGCTCAATGAGTGGAGGTTCAATATGAGCTTCTCTTGAGTGCCAATGCAGTTGTTGAATAACTGGAGGGCGGGTAGTCACCGAGCAGGTTATTACACTAGCCCTCCAGCTATTCAAAAACAGCATTAACGCTCAAGAGAAGCTCAGAGTGAACCTCAACTCATTGAGTGTGAGTCAGCTTTTAGAATACGGGCGTAAACCTATCATTTTGCATTGGTAATGTAAAGATGTCATAACGATAGTAAACAATGACTCTTTTCACAGTTGCTACTCATTAAAGGTAGGGTACAGTCCGAATGTAAACAAATCCTTTGTTTACATTTCGGTATTCAAAATATTGAACTCTGTTTCGGAACTATTTATACTTTCATGCTTCTACGGTATAATAAATTACCAAGATACGACAATCAGGCTTGGCAAGAACTTAAAATGAAATAAAAACCTAATTAAAGTGTTTATATAACTGCAGAAGATTCCGGCTATGTGCGCATGCGCAGACCGGATTGTACCCTATCTTTAAAATTGCCCGCTTGCTAACTTAGAATAAAACTAAGATTATGTTCTTTGCAACACAGCAGATGGTGAAGCACATTCCAACTGATACCTTATTTACGTTTTTCCGGGAAAACTGTACAACCAGTCCAAAATCCTAAAGATCTTAGTTGGCTTAATTATGGACTCAAGTATATCTTTTGATGAACACATCAAGCAATCGGTATCGTCTTGTATGAAGAAACTGGATCAATAAATAGAATCAAACTTATTTAAAGGCAATCGACTCTGGAAATGATAATAGAAAGTTACGTATTTTCCAATCTGTTTTATTGTTCCCCTGTTTGCTCCTCAACGAGGCAGAAGAACATTGGTAAACTTAAAAAAGTGCAAAATTTGCTGTGCATGCATGATGATAAGATTTCGTAAACACGACCATAATATGTAACCACCTGCATTAAAGCAACTGAAATAACTTCCCGCAGAGAACATTTTGTATCTCCGGGATCCGATTGCGTTATGACGTATAAATGAATGAACGTGAGTTATAGCACCCGATTATTTATGCCAAAAATGTGTTACTCGTTGTGAGATTGACAATCACGTAACATGGCAGAGTAAACAACTACATAAAATTGTCTGTAGGACTTCTAAAGCACAGAATTTTTTTTACAGTGCTTCCACAAATGGAATAACCTTGACGGCTCGCTAAAATCTAAATTAATTGAACCATTTTTTTGGCTTAAACCTGGTAAGCTTGAATGTACTGTAACTTACTAACTAAGCTCAGATGCTTTCAAATCTAATTGAAACATTCTATGTGTAAATTTCCAAAGCCTATTTAGCAGGAACTCCGCTTTAATTTTACCTCATAATAAATTACTATTGCGGAGCTATAATTAATGATAAATTTTGATGGGTTATACAGTAATTATTAGTAGGATTTATTGCACTATTTTTTTTCCTTTTTATAGCGCACCATTCATTTTAAGCCAGCACTGATTGGTTGGTTATGATAATAGGTAATAGTAAGTTGTAGTTATTGGTTAAAATTATTGCATGATAGCTGTTAATGTTCAATGAACCGTCAAAAACTATAGGTTGATATGCGTATTGTGAAGACTGGATGGCTATAATGATGCACATACTAAAATGATTGATAAACCATTAATTACAACTTATGTTATGATTAAAAATTGCGGTTGGGATATAATGATTGGAAAGCAATTCATGTTATGATGGATCCAGGCCATCAGTAATGATTGATTGATTTTAATAATAAATGAGCTGCATGTCTACAATGATTGATAGGCTCTATAGAATATTTCTTGAAGCCATAAAAATTGATTGACTATAAAGATTGATAAGCTAGAACAATGACTTATTCAGCAGTTTCACCATTAAATTGCAAAAAGCTTATCAGAGGTTTTGTCAAAATCAGAACCAGAGCAGGGCACAACAAACGAACGGCATATTGTAAACACTGGACTGGACTTTGGACTATGGACTTTGTACTTTGGACTATGGACTTTGGACTTTCGATTTTGAAATTATACTATTTTTTAGATTTTCGTTTAATTATATTAAAATCTAAACAGAGAACGATATAATTATACAAGATGATATAATTATACAAGGTAAAGTCCTTATCACAAAGACTAAGTGCTTCAGTTATTATTAATAAGTGTTAGTAGATGGACAGGAAATTTCGAACGGAAATTTGCACACTTTTTAAGACCTACTCAGTTGTGTGTGAGAAGGCAAAAATCTATGTCTATGTGCTTCAGGTAGCAACTATTTGTCACGTTTACTGTAATACTACCACTTGCAAGTGATGAACCAGGTGGGAATCGTAATCGTGGTATAAAGATTAATGCCCGGCAGCATAACGTACGCCGAAAAAAGCCATATATTGGCTATATAAACAATAATATAGACAGATTATCATAAAGTAATACTGACTACCAATTAATAATGTATGCATACATTCGTATTTTATAAAGTATGATGACTATGAGAGTTCGTGTTCACTATGGCTGAATACATTTATGAAAAGCTAAAACTGACACAGACAAAATACACAGTTGCAACACAGCCTATTTAGGCAGGCGCTAAACCGGTGTAAACTATTATGAAAAGATGAACAATACCGTCATTAGTATTTTTGCGCAAGTGAATATTAAAATATATAACAAATCCTACAAGTTGTCAAGTTGATTGGTCAAATTTGACAAATTCCCCGATAATCACGGCCTCGCCTTTGGCGAATAATTGTTCAAAGCCAAAGGCGCAATAATAATCGCGTGTAGTTTATACTTATACGTGATAGTTTCTCAATATTTTGTATTTGCCAAGATACTTTTGTCACAATTGTTTCTATAAATCTATTATCTATACCGACTATACGATAAAGAAGAAGTTCTGCAGTATAAACTGTACTATACATACTATAAATACAAATATTATAATAAAATTTAAATATTAAATAAAAAATATTACTGAGATGATCCTGTTATCCCACGGGCTATATCTATGAAATTGCACTGGTATACTCATGATATAGCTGATAGTATTTTTTAACTTGAATATTATAATCATGCACAAATTTTCGTTCTCTGTTTAGATTTTAATTAATATAATTATACGAAAATCTTAAAAATAATATAATTTCAAAATCGAAAGTACAAAGTCCAAAGTCCATAGTCCAAAGTACAAAGTCCAGTCCAGTGTTTACAATATGCCACAAACGAACTACGTACGCCGGTATGTTATAAAAAATACGCAAACTTTTGGTGTATGTAGAGTCAACAGTTCATTCTCAAGGATTTAAAATTTCATTAATTTTGATGATTTAATTATTATGATGATTAACAGGATTGAATAAATTAAAAGATTGTAATAATTCACAAACTGTAATAGTTGACGTCAATCTTATATGGATATTTGTAACCCATTTAGCGCCTTTGACTTGTGTAATTGTCTGGCGAATTAGACAGGGGGAAATGATGAATTAGATTGAATTATAGGGCAATGCATGCAATTTTATGAAAGGTTTACATGTAAATTCCTCACTACGAAAATCGAGAGCAAATCTATACGGTGAATATATACCATTTGCCTGTGTTGCGTACGAGTGCAAATCTATACATTGAGAATGCGCAAGGTACGCAAGGAGATACGCAAGGATGTAGCGACGGGGGAGATGTGGGTCTGTAAACCACCCCCAACTGTGAAACTCATGTCAGGTAAAATTCAAGTTTTAATTTTAAAATTTTCAGCTAAAATATGCGTAATAAAGTCGTTAAAGTTTTTGTGGAATGATAGCCATTTTTATAAAATACAGTCAATTTAGATCCGATTCGTTTGCGAGTTTGCTTTAGGAAAGGGCAGAAATGCAGTCCTGGAGCTTCAAGAGTATAAACATTTTCTGGTGAAGGACCCCCAGAACCCCATTTCTCTCAGTATGACAGAGGAAACCAATTAGGAAAACTCTATTATAATTGTTACACTTTGAAGAAAATTTTTAACATTGAAGTTTCAATTTCAGGTAAAATCCTACAACACTACCCCCCCCCCGTCCAACTTCATATGTTTCGCTACGTCCCTGAAAGTGCGTTGCGAATAGCTGTGCAACTATGAGTATTTATCCTTCCCCCCCAGTTTGATACGGATCCAGCGTTGTGAGTTATGCATGTGAATAATGTGATTAATGCAATTATATATTAAGTAATTTAATTAAACATAGAGGAAAATGATGATACAAATAAAGGAAATAATTCTATACAGTTAATTCTATATGTTAATGTAGAATTGCCGCATCTTATACTGATTGCGTTTAGAAATCAGACATTTTCCAGGACCCATTGCTTGACCAGTTAATGCCCTATAATTATTTGCATTTCCTCTGGTTTTGAAGGTACGTAATGTATAAAATGTTGACCATCACTGGTCCATGGCTGTGAATAGTTGAACAACTAATTACCTCGATAGACTTACTGCTAATTATCTAGTTTCGTTGCAGAGGCCTAGCCAAAGCCGTGATACCATATTTTGCTCCTATATCTAGTTCAATCAAAAACAAAAGAGAATCCCAATCCTTAAGACTATACTTATACTAGGTTACCCACAGGGCAGTAATGCTGCCTTTGACAGCAAAAGACAAACTACAGGGTGTTGAAGGAGTCCTTCAGAAACATCCTATTATTGTTATCCTTGTTAACCCATTTATTGACAGTACCCTACGACTGACTGAGTATTAAAAATCGTCTGGCGTTGGTCAGGGTAAATACTAAAGTAGGGGTCATTATACTGTGCTGATGGATTAACAAGAGACATTGGCAGATAGTTTTGTTAACCCATTTACTGGCAGTACTCTATACCACTGACGAGTAAAATCTTCTGGCGCTGGACAAGGGAAGGGCGCATTGCCAGCTAATGGGTTAAACCACCGTGGTTAATTAAACATAAGATTTGATGCGCCAGGAAATGTAAAGAAGCTATCAGTGTGACATCCCAGTTTCAGGCGACCTCGCTGCGGCAGCAACAAGAATAAGAAATATTTGTAATGAATTGGAATCATCCATAATTTATACATCAACATTTTCAAAAACGGCCAATTAGATTGGTGGAAACGTCATCCAATAAGAAGCGCGTATTTGAGAGTTAATCACTATGTAACTACAAAATAGTGATTAAAAAGTGATTATTAAAGAGTTTCATACAACCGGCCCCTGGGGTTAAAGGACAATGACAATGACATGCAGGTGACATTTAACATGTGTGACTATGCGTAATTAAAATTTGCGTGTTTAATAATAATATTTATCAAAGAAGGCAAAAATATAAACAAGACAACCTCACATGTGGAATCTGTTCACTTACGCACTGGCTTGTGATGCAGTACAAGTATAAATACAAATGACAAAGCATTTTTAAATCCTAAAACATAATTAAATCATACGGCACATTCAAGATTTTATTATAATATCTTATTTCAGCCGCGTTCATACTGCTTGCCGCATTCGCTGCGTTGTATTCATGGCAGATTTATTACTAATAAATCAACACTATATGATAATATATAGAACTCACAAAGTGCATAAATAAACCTTTTTAAAGCATGTCATTGTCATTGCAGACTAGAGGCAAAAACCAAAAAGCATTGTCAACCACATATTCAATGTTGAATGAAGGCATCGCGTATAATGCTTGAACCACTGCGTATAATTACGAAACCACCGCGTATATTAAAATGATGAAAGCACCGCGTATAATGGTAAAAGCACCCGGTATGATGGCGAAAGCACCGCGTATGATCGGCTCCAACCAGGCAACCACCGCGTATATTGGCAAAAGCACCGCATATAATGCCGAAACCACCGCCGTATAATGCTAAAAGCACCCAACAAAATGCCGTTTGATCACATTAATCCAGCTATGGCTTTGGCCTTCCATTAAAGAAGACCAAAGATGAAAGATCACATTGCCTATTTGCCTTATGCCTGACCGCGCTGCCCCACGGTTATAATTCACTGGTACCGTCATGCAATGCGCCAAATAGAAAATTTTGATTTCGACCCACCAAACAAAATTAGGATCTGCTGCCTTGCTCGCTCGCTTCAGGCTCGCTCGCTGCGGCAGCAATTAGCTGAGATTTCTGGCCAGTCAGATGCACAAGGAGAGACGTTGTTGAAATCAACTTCAGTTCTAGTGAACGTAGATTATACCATACAGAGAATGCAGGGTTCCTTGCATGTTTATATGCCATGCTTATGTTACTCTCTGGACGAGGGTATCGAATATTCATGGATATATTATCTTCTTGGAATGATATCCCCTCCATTAAAACATCATCATATTGAATATTGATAATACTGCATGTGTCTAATGTATATTTTTTTTGCATTTTGCAGTTTGGAGATGATGAAGACGAAGTGGCAACCTTATATCTAAACATCATTTATAATTTTTGAAATTGTTCGTTGGAACAGGCAGAATTGGTCTTAGCACACAAGGAGATATTTATTGCTACAGAGTAAAAGCTATATATTCATGGTACCAACTGGAGGATATGCAGTAATGCAGAGTTCATTAACTTTCTTTTCTTCGCATATAATATTTGTAATATGCAACGTCCCGCTGAATGTCCTAATATTTACATATTCATGCAGCGAAAATTTCTCCAGGTATTTGATAATAAAGTGAAGGTAACTTATGATACTTATATTGCAAAACTATTTAAAAGCACATAGTCAAAACTCAAGATTCATGTCGATGTTTTTACACTATATATTAACAGCATCATAAAAGACGTTTGTGTTAGCATTTGTTGCAACAGTATATTTTAGTCTAAAGTTCTTGGTACACTATACTTCTTTTGAATTGCTTTCAGTTAAGTCATTACAATTTTGTACCTTATTTATTTTGACAATATCATTTTATACTTTTTCAACGCTAATTTGTCAGGGTAAAAAATTAGTGTTGATTTGTCTTGTGTGGACATTGACACTTGATTTGTGTTAATTTGCTTAGGTAAATTAACGCTCTAAGTCAGTGTTAATTTTTAAGGTGTAAACTAACACTGAATCAATATTAATTTGTTTTGCGTGAATGTATAAGTCGAAATCATTGTAATGATGTAAGGTGTAAATCTACCTTAAATCGGTGCCCACTGGGCTGCAATGAATTTACGCCACTTTGGTGTTGTAGCAACAGCTGGAAATTGTGTAAATCTACATTTAATTAGTGTAATTGTGTAAGGTGTTAATTTAAACTAAATCGGTGTCCACTGAGTTGCAATAAACTTTCAAAATTTTGGTGCTGTAGCACACCCAGAAATTCAGAGTGCAGATCAAAAAATCAATACCATGTGTCCAAGTAATGACCCCGAATCAATATGCCGATATGAATAATTTTATGATTGTGTTGCATCAAGTACATCCAGTCTTTATGAGATATAGTCTACAGCATATATAATAAATATTACTGTACGTGTTATAAATAAAGCGTGATAATGAAAAAGTGTTCAATGGAGTTTAAATTAGTTTTGCATAGTTTTCAGTACTTTT